CATCATCATCATCATCAACATCATCCTCCAGAATGGGAGATGCTGAGGCGGCCGTTTGCGGCTTGGGACACTCTTGGCCGTAGTAGGCTTGGCAGGGAGAGAAGAAGATGGACGAGCAGGCTGCTTAGTGCGACGAGAAGAAGAAGGACTCCGAACGGACAAAGGAGTGACCAAAACAGGAGGAGGAGAAGAAATGCTCGGTTGGTCTAATGAATGAAAGGCACGATTGGCGTCAGTCGCAAATAATCTGCGCTTCACCGACGGCCAGAGTTGTTCAAAAAGAGGGTGAATGGCGTGGCTAGAATTGAAAGGGGCTAATGAAAAATGGCTGGTTAAAAGAAGATTACGAGTATCTATAGCCTCTGCCTCCACCTTATTAATGGTATAAAAACGGTCAACTAAGTTCCTTGAATAGCAAGGAGGAACAGGCCAAGTTTGGCCGAAACCAAGCTGACGGGCAAAAAATTGGGGAGCATAAATCTCTACCCCTGCCTTGGCGTTGGTCCCAGTTAGAATATCATGAAATAGCTCCCTCCCGGTTAAAAACTGGATCCAAATGAGCAGGGAGGTGCTCGCGCCATCTATAGTGGAAGGGGGATGTACATAGTTTGAAGTCAAAAAAGGAGAAAAATGAAAAAAGGAAGGGATTGAATCCAAGGAATAAAAGAATGAAAAAATGTCCCTTCTGGACATATTTATAGGAGCTAAGGGCTCCATGGCTAGCCCATAACAGCTAGCAGAAGAGCGAGAGATTGATGGAGCACCAATCAATGGAAAATAGGATCTCAACCACAGTTGAGTGAACCACTGCCAGTGGGAGATGCACCATTCTTTAATTGAGCTTGAAGAGAGACCGTGCCTCTATAAAGGGCAGCCAAAAACAAAGAACATAAATTCAAAGACCTGCCACGCGCCAATTCGTGCGCTATAGGTAAATAACTCAGGGAAGGCTTTATGCTTGGCACACACAAAACATATTTACAAAGCCAAACTAAAAGGAAGGTCACTCGCTCAGTATGGGAAGGCTCAGCGCTCGAATGATTGTGAAGAGTTTGCAGGCTTGAATAAGAATCGGTGTAGTTTTTACCAAACTTTAAGGCGCCACCAGAAACTAAAATACCAGGAAAAATGGTATCGCCCAAAGGTGGTAGATTCACCAGGGCTCCAACATCCCTTAAGGTAATAGACATGGAGCCAAGAGGGAAAATAAATGTGTTATACTCAGGAGATCAAAAACTCAAAGCAATTGAAAAGAGTGCTGAATCAAAAGTAGGGGGCGAATAGAGATTTCTAACAAATCAGAAATCTTAGCGCTATCAAAAAGTGCCTTAGTAGGACCATGACCCACAAGGCGAGCATGCCACTTACGAAAAGCTACATTAGATTTAGGCCAAGTGCGAATACCTCTTTCGCGAAGTAGCCCCAGCGGCAGAGAGTTTAGAAAAGGAGGGCCATGAGTGCAAGGAAACAGCTGACCCACCGCCGCCTGTTCAACTGCCTCTGCATTGTTGAAGAAAGGACCCAAGTAGAACTCATTACGTTCGACATCGACGGGCGCGAGAAAACTTGGGGTTATGTATGGACGACTCAGAAGTCTCTGAAAGTCATCAAAACTAAAGGAATCGCTGGCTTGAGATTGTGAAGCAGCCATTTGAGAAGGAATGAAACTTTTCAGGATTACGTAGCAGGGAAGTAAAAAATGAACAGTGAATCGTGAGAGAGACGCAAAAAATTTGAGGCGTGGTTTGATGGTGCAATGAAATGGCGTGTTTGAGGTTTATAAGGGTTTGCAAAACAACGCACCTTTTCAAGTTATAGAAGAAAATAATGATTGAAATTCTTGAGAATTTCGAATGTTGCTGGAAACACAAAGTGAATATGGCAAAATTTAATAATTATTATTAATTCTGCCATATTAGGGGGTAATTGTTGACACATAAAAATTCAGCTCAAATCGAACAGCCCAAGGAATGAAGCCCAATTGAAGGATCTCCAAATCAGATAGCACAAAGAACGAAGCACAATCAAACAAATTAATATGAATGCCCAAATAGGGAGGCCCAAGAACGCAGTAACGCCATCGCCCAAGTTCACAAGTCGCCCAGAACCTGAGCGAATGGAGTGTCATACAGTCGCCCAGAGCTGTTACTCTATTCTCATCCAAACCTTCAAGTCGCCCAAGGTCTTAACAAACATAAAGCGTCGTGGTTATCAAGAAGTGCAGTTATCAAAGCAGTTATTAAAGCAGCCCTATTACATTCCACGATTCAAGGAATTCAATCGAAGGCGGTTGAACGATGGAGAGTAATGACAGCAGTTAAAAAGATAGTTTTCATGACAAATTGGCCATTACGAAGAAAGTGGGCAGTTATAGGACGATCAAGCAGTTTTTAGGGCGGTTGATCACAAAGAAATCGTCCATGAAGTATAAAAGGGAGAAAGGACACAGAAGCAAAAGATCGAATCCGAAACTCTCGAACAGGGAACATGTAATTTTTCATTTCCTTAACTTAAAGTTAAACACTTTTCTTTCAGTAACTCGTGTGCTTGCGCCTCTTGGAGGCACGTTGCTTTTATTTCCAATTGTAAAGTCATCGCCAATAAAAAAACACCCCTTTTTGGAACTTTGTCTCAAAAGGTTTGTCCCTTATACAATCGTCTGATCTTTTTTAATTGTTAGCGACTAACCCGCGCGAAACAATAAAANTATTAATTCTGCCATATTAGGGGGTAATTGTTGACACATAAAAATTCAGCCCAAATCGAACAGCCCAAGGAATGAAGCCCAATTGAAGGATCTCCAAATCAGATAGCACAAAGAACGAAGCACAATCAAACAAATTAATATGAATGCCCAAATAGGGAGGCCCAAGAACGCGGTAACGCCATCGCCCAAGTTCACAAGTCGCCCAGAACCTGAGCGAATGGAGTGTCATACAGTCGCCCAGAGCTGTTACTCTATTCTCATCCAAACCTTCAAGTCGCCCAAGGTCTTAACAGACATAAAGCGTCGTGGTTATCAAGAAGTGCAGTTATCAAAGCAGTTATTAAAGCAGCCCTATTACATTCCACGATTCAAGGAATTCAATCGAAGGCGGTTGAACGATGGAGAGTAATGACAGCAGTTAAAAAGATAGTTTTCATGACAAATTGGCCATTACGAAGAAAGTGGGCAGTTATAGGACGATCAAGTAGTTTTTAGGGCGGTTGATCACAAAGAGATCGTCCATGAAGTATAAAAGGGAGAAAGGACACAGAAGCAAAAGATCGAATCCGAAACTCTCGAACAGGGAACATGTAATTTTTCATTTCCTTAACTTAAACTTAAACACTTTTCTTTCAGTAACTCGTGTGCTTGCGCCTCTTGGAGGCACGTTGCTTTTATTTTCAATTGTAAAGTCATCGCCAATAAAAAAACACCCCTTTTTGGGACTTTGTCTCAAAAGGTTTGTCCCTTATACAATCGTCTGATCTTTTTTAATTGTTAGCGACTAACCCGCGCGAAACAATAAAACATTCTAATAAATATTCTAAAAAATTGCCCCCAACAGAGCATTATTCATCAAAATTCAACTTGATTGCTCTCATCCTTATCAGTTATCGCCACCCTACCCTACTCTACCCTACTCACCTACAATCACCAACCTCCTCTTTCAGTCTCTGGACACAGAGACAGATATGAATATGGATATGGACAGGAATATATACACACCGGTACCCACAGCAATGCATAAAATCCAAGACTCTCTCTTGCACGCTCTTGTCCTAAATATTCTCTCTTCTAAATCTCTCTTCATCCGCCATGAAGCTCACCATCACCATTCTAACCAGAAGACTGTTCCAAGAACAAGGCGGCCCAGATAATTTAGACAGTACAATCTCAGCTTCCGCCACCTCAGACGCTATTTTTCAGCTCATAAATGACACTTCCGCCACCATACAAACACCCTTTTCTGCCCCCACCTTATCCACCGTCGATTTTTCCGTGGCATTAACAATACTTGTTCTTATCACAGCCCTTTCCTTCATGGCTCTTTTTTCAGCCTACATCCACAGCCTCGCCACTGACGATTCTTCCTCCTACACTGACAACCGCCGCAGAAACCTATCTCCGCCGTCACACACCAACCGCAAGGGACTTGATCCTTCTGCCATCAAATCATTGCCTCTGGTGGCTTGTGGTGTGGCCGCGAAGCACAGGATAGAAGAATGTACAATATGCTTATGCGAGTTTGAGGATAGCGAAATTGTCAGAATAATCCCCTACTGCAAGCACGTGTACCATCCCAAGTGTATTGACAGGTGGCTGTCGTTGCACGTGACTTGCCCTCTGTGTCGGTCACCTCAGCTTTTCGAGAACGTCGATGAGCTTTCTTTGGATATGAAGCAGGAGAATAATAACAATGTTGTTGAAATAGAAACGGTAGATAATGTGGCCACGTGGAGAGACGAGAGAGAGTTTAGTACTTGACGATGTGGCTGATTTTTCATTTTTTCTCTCATTTTTATGTTCACAGTTTCTGGAACGGTCATTTAGAAAACTGAAAATAAGGTTCTCTTGTCATGTCAAATATACTATCCATTCGATAGTGATTATGAAAATTGATCTTTGATCGTTAAAAATAAACGTGGATTTTACTCGTGAAAAATGACGACTGAAATAATAAAATAACGGTAAAAAAATTAATTTTTTTGGATGAAAAATTGGTACTAAACAGGATCTAAAAATTTGAGCCTTTAAAGGCAACACAAAATTTCCCATTTCGATAGAAGCACCTAACTTTTCCCAACACAAGCTGAAATTTCACATCGACCGATTTTCTTCTTCTTACGTTTACAACTTGAGGCCTCTTAATTTTTTTTCCCATCAAAGAACATAGATGCTGATGCAAAAAGATAAAGCATCTGTTTCAAGAGATTATGCCATAAAAAATTAATCAAAAATAATTAACTTAGACAATAAACATTCTAAATTTGAAGATTAATTTATAGTTTATACAATGCAAGAAGTTCAGTCTCTTGCAAGAACCGCAGGCAAAATGGATAGAATCAATTGGTATGGACAATGGTGCCCCTTTTCAAAACAGATATCAGCCTACCAAAGCTTCTGAGAATCAGATCTTACACTTAATAAAGAAGAATCAGCATTTGCAACTCATGCCAAAATCAACTGGAATAATATCGATGCAACTTATTCTCCCGGGTGCTACCTGTCATTTAAAACACATTCATTTAATACAAAATCGAAAGTAATACTCCTGATAAAGAAGTAGTAGTAGTACTTAGCAGAATACGTTTACCCAAGGTCTCAGGGAGCCATAGCTGAATCTACATAGCAACCAGCTTACTTCAACTTTTGAATTCCTATTCTTTTTATTATTCTTCTCTCTCTCTTTTCACACGTTCAGCTATCTACGCTTTTCTTCTTCCTTTACTGTACGAAGTAAGCTTGGACTGCCTCAACAACTGGCGCGTTGCACATTGGACAATTCCCCTTGTCTTGGACCAAGCTATCTGCACATTTTGAACAGGTGCACATGTGCCCACACCTGCATAAATGAAAGATGGACTTTGTGAATAAGAAAACTGCAAGAATACATGTAAAAACCCGTATCACATTTCCACGCGCAGAAGTTAAGAATGAAAACGTGTTGATACCACACTAAGCCCCCCCTTTGGTACCGATTAAAATCTAGATTTTAATCTAAATCAAAGTCAACAATGAATTTTAATCACATATTTTATTGCCCACAACATTTCATCAACTTCTACCAAAATCTATTGAATTTTAATTCCCACCAAACAGGATTTGAACAAGATGCAATCTTATAATTCAATCATACGAAAAAGACTATAAGAGAATAGAGAGTTTAAGATCCTATACAAGGGAAAAGACTAAAAACTGAAATTATAATATCTAAAACTACCTAAAAACAACAGCACATGTTCGTAAAAACACTGCAAATAATAAAGATATACAACTCTCTACCTGTAGAGCAAGGAATGTATTTTACTATCAGAACATATGCAACATATTCCTTTCCTCACATGATCCCATCTAGATTCATCCTTTGGCATATTGTTTCCCCAACATGTACCTGCATATAATAATGGTAAGCTGAATTTTTTTTTGGTACTTGAAATGAGAAATAAGCAAAACAGAACACGAAAAGCACTAGTAATAGACAATACTTTTCGTGCTGCAAGTCAGGTATACAAAGTATTGGACATTATAATAAAGAGAAACTTAGCTCATTATAAACAATATGAAGACCAATAACTCGAGCTTGAAATCTCACCTGTTGAAACAACTGATCGATTTAAAGCAGCAGATAGCTCTTGTTGCACCGAACGCTGCAACTCAATTTGCATGTCCATGCATGACTCCAGCATGCTCTGCATGTTGGTCATCTTTTGTTGAAGCCCAGCCATGTCAATCCTCAACTCATTAATCACCTCACAGTCCTGATCCACGTCATCAGATCATATGATATAAATTAGAAGCGTGTGTAACAAAAATGCTCCAAAAATCGAAAGGACCACCCTCGAGACTAAAGGTTACGTAAGTACTGTAACGTGCCATTTCATTTTATCGTCAGAAAATGAAAGACGTATAGAACGGTAGAAATGTTCATACCGAACATTGATGCATAGAAACTAAGGACATAAAGTTCACAAAACCTCGCATTAATTTGGATAAATTCTTTCCTCTATTATGTTTCTTCAGTGTTATATGGTCCTGAATTAAGAATATCAATTTCCCTTCCCCTTTAATAGACATTTATCAAGTGCCTTAACAAACCTCCTAGTCAGATAGAAAGTGCAATTTTAATAGACATGTATTCTTAATGAGGATTAAAAAGTTCAGAATTCCACTCTATCTAGGGATAACTCTGTATCTCAAATCAAGCGAACAATTAACAAACCAAATTCACCAAACCAGTGCTAGGTTTAAGGGTGGTGGAGCTCACAATTCCAAAGCACTGATGAGAATTCAGTGCCCTACTTGCACCCAGAAACTCGTCATCCCAAAATGGCAGAGAAGCATAGACAAGTGATGAAGAGGAAATTAATGGATTTCCTTCAGCACCCCCCAAGTGAGCTGCATTTTGATCACCGTTCTGCTGTTCCTGGTCTGTATTGGTTAAGTTTGGAGATGTATTTTCTAGCTCCCAGTTACTAGAAGCACGACCTTGCCGTTCCACATGGGATTGCAACACTTGGTCGAGACTCTCGCGAAAACCACTTCGGAGAAGACTAGAGACACGTCTCCTGAAGTGCAAAAGAATGTTCAGAAACAGTTCAAGTAAATGAAGACCTGAAGTCAAAAGCAATGAAATCATATACCTGGTGAAAAGCTCCCTAAGTTCCATGCTGTAAATATTTTCATCTTCGAGGAAATTAAATGAACCAATTCTTGGAATAGAACTTTCCTCTCCAGAAGGCATGTCTAGCCAACTATCAATAGCCTCTTGCAAATCTTGGCCTTGCCAGTCCTCATGCAATTCTCCTATCTGATCAGGCTCGACAATTTCATTATTAGAAGTTCCTGGAAACCACTGATTAGCAGTACTTTCTTCCCACCTTCCACCCACATCTTCTCCACTTCCATTCATCCAGTCACTAAATGCACCATTGGTTACCTGTCGCCAGTCCCTTTCTTCAAATTCAATTACTGACTCTTGCAACTCATCTTCTTGAACTGAAGCATCTTGCCAATCGAATTCAAGGTGCCCAGTGACGTATTCTTCATTCATGTTCTGTTCCATATCATATGTATTGCCAATTAACTCATTTACATCACTTGCCCTACTTCTAGGTTCATCATGATCAAGTAAAACTTCTCTGCATGCACTGCCATCAATATGATCAGCTTGAAACGACTGTTCATTGGCATTATTCTCCTCCCACGTTCTAGTGACATCATTCTCTCTAATATGTCCATTGTTGGACGACACTTCTCGGACATTTTCTTCACTGTCCAAAACTGGCTCCTCTACTTCAGCAACTTGTACATCAGATTCCTGTCGATTCATGTCTTCACCTGTGACCTTGCTCTCACCGAGTGACTGAGATCGCTCATCTCTTTGGCCATTACTTTCATCATTATAAGGCACATCAAACTGAGAGCTATTCACCTCAGTCTGAGGAGAATTTTCGAATTTGGAGAGGAATCCATCCCTACATTACAAAATTTTGATCACGTTAGTTTGAAAAAATAAAATTAGAAGGAACACGATTGACAACAGATGCCAAATGAGCTCAATATTAGTGGGTCGTGTTCAATTTGATTGATAAAATAAAGTGATAAAAAAAGGGTTTGAGCAAATACAACCAATTCCTCAAGTTTAATTAAATGATCAGTGTTCTAACAGAAATGAACTGATTAAGTAATGTTAAAGGGACTGGTAAGGAATTATTGTACACATGAGAGTTAACCTTAACAAAAATACAATAGAGGAATGTATTTCCCAGCACTTGTTATACCACCAGTCTAATTCTTCTGCAGAGAAGCCAAGGAAAATCTCGAATGGTTTTGCTAATGCCATATTAACTGATTACTCTACACTAATATTATGATGTTATCTACATCTTAAGTTTCCTATGGGGAAAAAAATTTCAATAATGAGAATATGTAACTTGTCATTTCTGGGATCCCCCCATAGCATCTCCAAGCGGGAGATAAGTATTAGCGAAAAGAAGGAATGGTCTAATATCTTTTGGTTGCATGTGAAACGATTGTGTAATTTAATGAGAACTGAACAATTAATTATGCAAGAGTAGTCCATTGATAGCATAACAAGAGCTCCCAAAAAAAAAAAAAAAAAAAAAAAAAAAAAAAAAAAAAAAAACCCAAATGGGAACAAATGAAAACACCGCTAATTCCTATAACCAGAAAGAGAAAAGAGAAGATAAATGAAAAAGAAAAAGGGGTAAATAGAATTATTCAAACCAGAATCAGGAAAAAATTATCTTGCTCACTGAGCTCATTGAGAGCACCTTAGCTCCTACTCTGCTTTAACTATAGGTTGACAACAAGAATGGATGTCGTCATAATTATGAGTTTAAGCAATATAACTTCGTCGTGAAATGGAGAAAATTAGTACAGAAACAGAAAGGAGAAAATGAGGACCATCACAAAAGTTCACCAAAGGCAGAAGTTACTATACAGGAAATTTGCTACATTTTTGGGAGTATAAGGACATTGGATTTGCACTTCTGTGGCAAATGGGGGTGGACAATAATATCTATGTGTATCACTAAAATCTACCTTAGATCAGACACTGTATGTCTTTGCCTTAGCAAACCCAATTCACTTGCAGCCACAGACGAAGATCTCTTGTCCAGGATAAGTCTTTGCTTTCGCAGGAAACTACCTCTAACAACCGCCTGCAATATAAATATGGGATCAGTGATGGCAAAAGAACATCATTATTTTAAATTTCAGATTCAATTACATGCAAACAATTTCGTAACATTAGCCGATGCAGGAAGACAGCATTGTAATAGGTCATAGGAAAATCACAAGTTAGAGTCATCTTCTTCAGGTAAATGTTTTACCTTTCTACTTAGACATTTGATTAAACGTAATCCTTAATTTACAAAAAAATGTTTGTGAAAGCAAATTATTTTTTCTCAGAAAAATTATTCTCCAACTAATTTGAAGGAATTATTACATACGGCAGCTCCAAGTAGAAGAAGATAAGGAAAAAAAAGAAGCGATGTTGTCAATGGAGATGTTGGGACTGATACCATAAGAGCTATTCGACGGTGATACCCATAAGCAATCTCAAGGATGAAAGGGGGCAAATATGGCTTCAAGACAGCATTTCGGACGTATTCAAATCTCCTATGTCTTCGGATTTACTCTAATATTTTGTTGTTTTATGTTGTTGATCACCATTTTTACATTTTTGAATCTGTTAATGCAGGTTACAGATTCGGTCAAGAGGAAGAAACTTATATATCGTAGCCACTCATGGTTATTTTGCCGATTAATCTTCCAAGTATTTAATTCTTCTTTGCTTTGATGATTGATTCAAACTCCGCCTCTCGTAATTTTCCAATAAATTGAGACAACTAGAGAGGAAATAATTAATGGAAAGTAAAAAAATTAGCTTTTAATTGGTTTTCATGTTCATATCAAGATTTACTGTCTCCTCGAGTTTATACACTGTTATTTAGACCATGAAGATTCTAAGGAGACAAGTCACAATTGCACTGCATTTAATAACAGCCAAAATCCGCCTACATATTTCATAGCCGGTCACAAGCTTGGGTAAAGGAGGGTTCGCTGTAGGTTGACAGCCTATATAACACTTTATGAACTAGAAAAATGGATCTTTTGCTTAAATAAACTAACAGTAAAATCATTAATGATAATCACCTGAATGCGATTGCGATGAGCAAATTTTGAAACTGGCTTGCACTCGGACAATTTCAGTAGTTCTCTTTTCCTTTCGCTCTGAGCCCTCAGCAAAAGATCAAGAAGAGTCTGTCTACCACATAATCTTCTAATAGGCCTCCGTGCACCAAGGTTGGAATGGTTGGCCGCCAGTTCATTGTGCATCTGTTCAATCTGAAAACCAACTTCACCATCTCCATCTATATGTGAGCGACAACTGCTTCTCTGTTGGGTATTCATCTGCACCCATTCTCTAATTGTTCTCACCCTTTCACACTCATTCTCACCAAGCCATTGTGGCCTCGAGATGTTTCTATGCTGAGCATTAGGTGGATGACACTTAGCACCACCTTTCATCCATCCACGAAAAATTTGCCTAACTCTTTCACGTTCAACTTCTCCCAAATCAGTAGATTGTTCCGTAATAGTACTGTTATTATCCTCTTGCTCATTATCTGATCCTATCCGGCCTTGATTCTCAGTCTCGCTGCCTGCTTCAGAAGTATCGTCCCTCTTATCATTCCCTTGCCCATCCAAGGTGACAGTGCTTGATCGGTCAGAATCCAAACTGTCACTTCTCTGTTCCCTTGGCTTATGAGAATGATATGCCCCATGCTCACCCTCAAGTTCTCGCCAAATTTGTAAGAGCGAAGATGCCCGTGGGCTCTGCATATCTCGTTGCTCACCCCACTGACTTGACAGTGGAGGCTGAGACTCTCCAAAGAAAGAAGAATGAAAAGACGATACATTATGCAAACCCGTGATAGCCATTGTTTAAAAACTAAATACTATTTCAAATCTCAACAATGATAGTCGTCTCCAAGATCTAATAATCCACCTATCTGATCATAATTATCAACAAATGCTTACAATTCACACAAACTTATTGCATATCATTGAAGCTATTAATTATCATCATCACTCCAACAGAACCTCATTGTCAATAGATATATACCATTCAATGCCTGCAAAATTTCATCAGAATTCACATTTTACTTGTCAATATAATATAAAGTTAATTTATTGAATTTTCTGGGGTTAACTTTTACCAACCCCTTCCAACAAGCAATCCACAGATGCTTACAAAATTAATATATTTTTTTTTTCAAAAAAAGCTGAGGAAAAAAGTGACTTGCAATCCCTCTTTGCTCTGACAATTGACATCTCATCCAAAAGAAGAAATTAAGGAAAAGCAAAGGTCAAAATTCAAAACATTAAACTTTCAAAAGAAGAAAATAATAGAAACCGAAATAGTTCAATAAAAAGAAACTTAATGCAATCAAATGATTTCCACACAAATTCATTTCTAAAAAACTCTCGCTAAAAATATAAATTAACAAATCCAGAAGTTCAAGACACGAACACACACCTCGAAGAACATTAAAACTATAACAAAAAATTACCTTCTTACAGCTATGATGCAGGAACAATGTATCTATCAATCTATCAGTGTTTAATCCTTCTGTAGAACGTGTAATAATAAGAGATAGAGATAGAGAGAGACCGATGTACTTTGACTATATGAGAGAAACGCAGTGGACAGACAAGTCATTTGATTTTATTTACATGGAACGGAAATTTTTTCCGTTAACTCTTCTAACGTCTATTTGTGTGAACAGTCCTTTTATTTACACGAAATTGCAAAAGTTTTCCCATGCTCTTGAATATAACGGTAACTTGGAGCGTGGTGCGTAAAAGACGATTTTTATTTCCAAATTTAAATGTGGAAAGATTTTTTTTTTTTTTTTTTTTTTTTTTTTTCGGGGGGGGTTTTTTTAAATATTATAAAATTTTTAAATTTTTTTACAGTGAGAGTATATTTAATAATCGATGAAATTTTCAAATTTTTGTAGTTCAGAGCGTTATTCAATTACCTATATTAAGGATAATTTAAGATTGTATTTTGTGAGAGAATCAAATCGATTCTTTATAGTTATTTTTATTAGCCATAGTCGGAGCTCCATTTTGAGGAAAATGGGTTTTTTTTTTGAGGATGTGCAATTAAAAAGTAAGAAAAGATTTTTCAATTTACGTTTAAAATTATTTTTTGGAAAATATGCTGTCGAAAATAAATTCGTGAAGAAATGGAGCTCAAACAAGGGCTTAGTTCGTTTGAATTTAAAATTATGTAATTAATACATAAATAAATATATATTTTTAATGCACAACGTTACATTATAAATATTTATTCATTTTAATGTCAACATTTTTAGAATTTTAACGGTAAAAAAATGATGTATTTTAATGTTTATATCTTTAAATTTAATCATGTCTTCACTAAGGAAATAGAAAATTTGAATAATGTGAGTACCCTAATCAATAAAATTAATAAAATAAGCCTTTTGATGTCTACGAACGTGTAAGCAGAAGCCATGAGGGTTACGCGATTTTAGGAAGATTTGCACCAAACCCCTATTTATCCTGCGTGGAGAACCACAATGTCCTGTCTTTATTACAAAATTTAATTAATTTAATTGCATTCAGTTATGTAATATTTTATTTTCCTTCTTCACACTAACATTTGAAATTCAAACGGATATTTGGAGTGATCAACTTAAAGAAATTTGATAACTATGATATATTAATGAAATTTAAGCAGGGTAAGAGTGTAACATTACTAGAATTTTATAGTAATAATAGAGATAAATTTCTCGATTTGATCCTTGTCACTTGCATTTCATCCCTTTATAGAGACCACCAGATACGAGCTTGCCGTCCTAACTACGTCAAAGCTATAGTATCTAACATAGCGTTGTGTGCCACTACCCGTTTTGAAGAGATTTGATTGATTGGAGAGTTTGAAACGACAGATCATCATAATTTCCTCATGGTTGATTGGTTTTGACCGTGCTACCATTAAAGGGGGAGTACTTCCTCATCGGAGTCATGATGATGTTTTCATATAACGTCTTATATGGTCCGACTCCGACCTATATATATTGGTTGGTTGGGTCGATCTTTCAAGCTGACATATGCTCATGTGACCAAATAAAGGTGGATTGCAAAGTGATTCGAAGTGAATTTGCAACAAGATAGTTCTTCACAAAATAAATATCTCCTTAAGTAACTCCAACTGAAGATCATTAAATTAAGAAATAAATTGAACTTGTAATGGGCAGACTTTGAATAAACTCTTTTTTTCATAATAGTAATGTAATATTATTAGTAGAATATGTTAGAAAAAAAGAGATAGATAAAAAATAATGTTGTCTTTTACAGCTAGGAAAAAAAATAATTATAATTATCCCACTTTAAGTTTATTGAGCTAGTAGATTAATATACAAATGGATGCATGAATTTAGTTAAAATATTTCACTACGTACGTTTAAAAGTTCACGAGCCTCGATCCTCTCACATGATCATTATCCTATCAACCTATTGTTAGCAACATAATTATTAAAAAAAACTATTCAAAGGGCACGAGTAGTTGATATTATAAAATTCATGATTTCTTTTAAAAACTTAATCTTTAGTTTGTGCATTTATGCTATTACCAAGAAGCATAGATCCATCACTCGAGTAATCAATCAAGAGTACCCTTAAGTCCTACACACAATGTTACATATTCTATGGGCCTAGCTCGTGCATATTCCCTACTAAGACGTGCCACTTATCTTTATGACAATTTATTATTAAGTGCAAGAACATTTCTAGGCTTCTTCTTATCTCTTAGTATTTGGTTTTCTCTTGTTTCATTTGTTTTGTTCCCATTGTACACAAGAAGTACCTAGACAAGTACATTGCATTGGAGATAAATGACTAAATGTGCTCCTTTTTCCTGCAAAAATTCAATCATTATCACTTCTTTCCAGCCTTTTTTATCAAAAGGTTCATATGCATAATGATATATAGGACCTCAAAGCTTATATAATAGATTATTTTCTTTTTCTTTTTCTTTTTTTTTTTGTCGGAAAACAAAAATCTTCAATTTTTTTCCATTTTTGAATTTTATTTCGCAAATATCTTACCCAAATACACATGACGGAGCCAAGTGGGGACAGTGGAGTACTTGGCACCCACCGAAATTTGAGAAAAATAATTAAATGACTTTTTATTTTTAACAGTCAAATTCATGAAGAACTCAATAAAGAGATGCACAAAAGATGTCACGAGATAAATTTAAATATCATTAATGATAAGAGAAGTTATACATTTAACATATCATTAATGTATGACTTTTAAGAATAAATTTAAATTTAAAAAAAATGAAAGTAAGAGGAATATAATTTAAATCTCTTTTAATACTAATTTTAAGTTTAATTATGTTCACATCACATTTTTGTTGCATGAACAGTTGAGAATATAAATGTTACAATGAACAACTTGATGAACTTCATTCAACAAACAAAAACTATAATGTGAAATGATTGCTCTAATTTTGAATATATAGAGGGGTAATTTAATTTTTTTTTTGGGGCAAAAATGGAGAATATGTTATGAGAAAAATGATACTTCTCTAGTTTTTGAAAACAAGCATGAGATATCTCTGTTTCATGGGTTTCTTATGCCCTTGTTTGGTTCCTATTTATTAAAATTCATCTCTCTCTCTCTCTCTCTCTCTCTCTCTCTCTCTCTATATATATATATATAATAATGACAAATGACTTTAACCATGACATCCAAGATACATTGAAAAATATATACTAGCTCAGAGTGCTGAAATCAGTTTGCCAAAATTAGGTATTTTTTCCCAAACAATTGCTTGTGCTTTTCTACAAATGCAATTCCAACTAATAGGAACCTCATCAAATACCAAATATTACCAATTTCTTCCCCAAAATGCATGCCTTGTAGTGGGATGAAACTTCTACCATGTGCCCTTTTCCTTAATTTAATAGAAGAAATCATATATAAGCCATACTTTCTGGTTTAAAAAACCTTGAAAAGACAATGCTGAAAGTGGTACAAAGATTTGGGCTGTCGACAATAAAAAACCTCAGTGACATTGTAGAATTTGGTAACTTGTCTTCAAATGAAAAGAGCCCCCCACTAATTTGTGCCAATGAAGTGTATGCATGTGGCATTACAAATATAATATTGAAGGCTTATATAAAGCAAGAAAAGTGGCAAAAGAAAATGAAGAAAAGGACTAAAGTGTGATCATAGTGGTCGCCGCATATGCCTTGGAAGATGCTGTTATTTTTTGCAAATCCGTGGGAGTAGGATTAGCTAGGAAGCATATTCTACAGTGAAAACCCTAAATATATTGCTGGTTACTTATTCACAAATCTTATATATATCAGCAGCCCTAATAACATAGATAAACCCCTCTTAGCTAATGCCACCTCAACCACGGCCCGGCCTTCGACTGGCCGCCTCAGCCGGCCGCCAGTTGGAGGTGGTGTGATTAGGGCTTTATCTGTCATGATGGGAGAAACGAGGTTGATTAGACGTTGAAGAAATCTATCTTTTCTCCACAGGGCAACTTCAATCCTTTGGCATATTCATTCTCATAATGAATTTCAACTCGGCAATATCTTACTGTTTCCGGCTTTAACAAGGCCTGTTATGCACTTCATTTCATATGAAATAAGCAGAAGATTTCCATCTTCTGTACGTGTAGTTTGACATAGTTTTCTAGCTTGATAGACATTTTATTTGTATTCGTAAAAGTACAGCATGTTGACATGCAAGATGATGTAATTTCTCCCGTCTGTGTTAATTTAGTTCTTGTTAATGAGATTTTCTATTCTGCTGTGTTTTTGCATCTGGGATGGGAAAAGTGGGGACAAATTTGTTTTAAATTCAATAAATAGAACCACCTGCGCATTCCCAATCGAAGATTTTTTCAGCATTTTTTTTTTCTTTTGTAAAAAATTTCTTTTTGATTTGAATGCAGGAATTCATACTTATTACCATCAAAGACCCAAAACAAAGACATGTCATCACTTTTTAAGAATATATTTTTATGGACTCATCAGTTTTTAATCATTTAAAATTTATCCAAACGGAGGCTTATTTAAATGTAATAATTGACCACATACTTGTTTTCTTTAACCAAAATGAAAATAATCACTTTTTTCGATTCAAAGATTCTTAACTGAACCTATCTAATATTTATCTAAGATTAATACTTTCTTTTCATTGTATAGATATTTACTTTAACTTATGATTGGGTAATGTTTATAAACTATTTATAATCAGTAAAATCACTTCTTGTCCTTATATTTAGTGTAACTTACAAGTATCACTCACTTATGTATCATTTATTTCTAGTTGTTTATAATTTAAATTGTTTATAAATACTTCCTAAACAAGATCAAAACTTAACATCACAAAAAAGAAATCACCACCTCACCATGGTCATTAGGCTGGCGGCCATGACAACTCGGACCACCATTGTCACACATCTCCCCATACAAGAAACCACCGCAAAGCAAAATCAAAACCAAATCGAAACCTAACCACCTACCAATTTCTACTGTCAGTCTGTCACCGTTGTTGCCTCCACCAACATCAATGGGATCATGTAACCCCAACGTCGCACCATGAATCGCAATTGCTTCTGGTGGCATCGTAATAGAATTTCTGAGAGATACTAAGGAAAT